TGGAGTCTGTAGAGTCGCTCTTGGAGGCGACCCCACCCAATCACTCCTTAGATATTAGCTATTGTGCTGGAAAATTCCAAAGATAGCATTGTCTCTTTGTCCCTCACAAGGAGGACATTTGCTAAGCACATTACAAGGCATGTGTAGAACGGGGTGGGGGTGCAGGCCCTAGCAAGAATAGATGCTGGAAAAGAAGCAAAGCGGGTAAAACAGCTTTTTTTTTTTTTTTTCAAATGGGCTTCCATCAGTTTCCTTGTCTCATTATGAGACTTTCTACTCTGGTTCAGTACATTTGCTAGAGCAGGTCACAGAACTCAGGTAAACAGTTTATTTACTACATTACTGGTTTACTATAAAAGAATATAACTCAGGTATAGCCAGGTGGGAGAATGTATTGGTCAAGGTCTTTCTAGTGACCAGCTCCCATTCAGGAGCCCACTAAGGTCTGCCTCATTAGAACAAAGAACACTCATAGCACTCAGAAAATATTCCAAGGGATTTTGGACCTGCGTATCAGGACGCAGGGTCAAAGACCAGATATCAGAACAAAATATGCTCCTATTGCTCTTATAACTTGGGAAATTACAAGGTCTTAGGGGCTTTGTGTCAGGAACCAGAGGGAGAGACCAATATATTTTCTATTTCACACTGTCCTACCTGAGACATTATTGTTTTACAATATTTTAAAGTTTATTTATTTTTGAGAGAGACAGACAGTGTGAGTGGGGAAAGGCGATAGAGAGAGAGACAGAGAGAGAGAATATCCCAAGCAAGTTCCACGCTGTCAGCATATGTGGGGCTCAAACTCACAAAATCATGAGATCAAGACCTGAGCTGAAAACCAAGAGTCCAATGTTTAACCAACTGATCCACCCAGGCGCCCCATACCTGAGACATTATTAATTGTTGTAAGATATTGCTCTAAACCACCAAAGTCAGAGGTCTCTGTCACCGTTAAATTGAACAAGAACCTAGAGGCTATACTAAGAAAAATGTTTTTGCTATTTTTTCATTAATCCTAGCAAAAAATCTGCAGACACTCATGAATTTTCTAGTCATGATAAGACAGTGGGAGAGCAGTATTGAAAACGCAGGGTCACTGGGAGAAGGCAGAACCTCACCTGATCACGCCTTTGGGACTTAGGCTTCTCCAAAGAATTTAGGATCCTTGGGCACCAAGTCAGACTGCGGAGAGCCACGGACACTTTATGGCTACACCTGCAATTCGATTGGAAGGGGAATCTGGGTGTGGCTCCGCCCCCGGTAGGACCAGACTCCGCCCCTTGGAGTCATTGCCCTGTGAGCTTGCCCTGCTGTGGGTGCTCGCCCAAGCCGAACGCCTCTACTCAAAAGACTCCTGTCTCGTTCACTCCTTACTCAGGATCCAAACAGGCAGCAACAAGTTGGTTCCTCTAGCGATTTGGGGTTGGGGCACTGATCACTCAGCCAGAAATCAATCTGACCCCAGGCGCACAGGCAGGAGGTACAGTGCTCACCCCTGACTGGCCATGAGTATGCCAACGAGCCCTACTCCGCCTTCCCGCGCTGTCCCTGGGGGTACTTGAAGCAGGGTGGTTGTCGAAAAGACCACCAAATGCCGAATAGAAGCGAGGCAAGATTTTATTTACGGCCGGGCCAAACCTGATCTCCGGACTTCATGGAGAAATGCAGAGAATGGCCCCGAACAAAGGTGGCAGTGAGCTTCTCTGGATCTCAGCAAGGCAGAATATGTCATTATTTAGTTAACCAATTACATTCCACAGCATACCATGCTAACCAATTGCATTGTGACACTCAAGTGTTAGTTTTGGCAGAGACCTACCAATTTTAAGTTTTTTTGTCTTGAAATGACCAACCGTAATTAGACATTTGAGAAGCCGTGGGGTAGTGACTACGTGGTGACAGACCACCAGGGTAGAATGGTGACGTGGTGTTCTGTAACCTTGCGAACAGGGGGTGGGTGTGGTCAGCCAGAACAGGGAAGTACAAGCTTGCCCAGTGAATTTACAGAAGCAGAAATAGCATGTTAGTATTTAACCGTGCTTGAGGTTAACCTACAACACTTGATCTCTTCTACTCCCCCCCTTTCTGCCTCTTCCTTCCTGCCCAAACCCTCTGGCATGCACACACAGCAAAGCCGGCAGCCCCTCACGGCCTGAATGCAGCACTTCCCACTATCCACATATCCCTAGGACCACACAGAGGCTGGCGCTGGAGCCCACAAGTGCCCCGTGCTTTATAGAGCACTCACAGGTCCTAGCCAAAGCCGCTCGTCCCCAAACTTCCTAGATGTCTATGGCACACTTCTGGCCTTACACAAGTGGGCACAGGGAGTTCAGCGACCTCCAGAATGTGCACCCTGGAAGGTGCACCTGGAAGGTGATCTCTTCTGCCTACCTGGTGTCTCCAGGGTCTAACAGAACTGCCGGACCCAGTACCCTCTCAAATAACCTCTTAAATATGGAGTTTGCCTTTGCACGCCTCCATCCACCTCTACCCTGAGCTCCCACCTCCAGAAAACTGCTTAGAGAAGAACTTAGTTCAGGGCAGCTCCTCTGGCTGCCCATCCAGGACAGGCACTCAGATTTTCAAGACACCCAGATGCACATCAAAGGGAGCAAAGGCCTTAAAATCTGGTAAGTGAAAATTTTGCTTTTTTGGTTATAACCTCTGCATAGGGAATTCCTCATAGCACCATGTCTCCAACTCCTGGGGGGCCCACTGGTGGCTCCACATGTTAAAAACAAAACACATGAACACAAATGAGCACACCATCAGAAAAAGCCCTCAGAACCCCTAATCCGATCACTGCTTTGCCTTTTTTTCTTTCATGTATATTAAGCTACTGTCACATAAAGACCATTGTAATGATTAGTCATAGGGAGACAAAAGAGACACAGAGAATCTCTACCCCCAGAAAGTCCAACAAAGCCCAGCACCTAAATCCTCCTGAGGAAGATGGATATATAAAACCCAACTTCCAGGGTATTACAGGAATTAACTCACATAATTTATGTGCGGTTCCCAACACAGTTCCTGAGACATAGTGCCCACTACCATTTTTGTGAGCAATTCGTAGCTGTTTAAAAATATATATATATGTATATATACATATGTATATGTGCATGTTAAATATATGTGTATGCATATATACATACATATAGACATATATATGCATATACACACATATATGCATTTGTGTATATGACATATGCATATATACATACATACGTGTGTATATATGTATGTGTATATATAGTGCTTTAATGAATGAATGCATGCTGTTTCTGTAAGGAAAAATATAAACTAAAAATGAGAGAGAGAAAACATTTAATTCTCCCTTAAAAGGGGGGATGGAAAGAGACTTCTCTTTCTCCCTTTTCCTAAAGCGTTTCTTAGAAAACTTGTTAGTTCTTTCTCAGCCTGTTTGAAATGTATGTACATCTTTGAAAAGCTAAATAAGATTCTTGGCAGCATTGTAACTCAGGAATGTTTGCTCAAGGATCTGGGAGCCAATTCTTTGAAATGTAAATCTCAAAGGAGATAATATCTTCCAATTATCTTCCAATTCCTGTGGGAAGACAGGTGCCTAACTCCGCAGGTGCCTTGCCCCCAGTTTCAAAACTCCCTCCTGTCTGTCATTAAGATATGAGAAGTTTGTTTTCTCTTTGATCTTAGCCAAAAGGCCAAGAAGCGACTGTTTTCTCTCTGGATAAAGCCAATTAGCTAACACAGATAGCCACTCGGCTTACTGGTAATGTTAGGATTGAGCTATGTGTGACGCATGGCGTTCTCATGACTTCTTGACGACTACTTATTATTTATCTTGAGAACATGCATGTAATCGGTCCTATCCGCTTGCTTGTCGTCTATGACAAAGTGAGATGAATCTTTGCAGTTTCTCAACAGATTGCCTGCGATGCATGTCACATTCTGATTTAATGCTTATGCACAAATGAAACGGTTTTCTTTCTCTTCTACCTTTGTGGAGAAGACTGCGGCGTTGGGAGACGATTTTATTTTTAATTATATTCCCCAACACTGCCCGCTGGCAAAAAGAGCTTTGATTTAACACTGTTTCCAATTTAAAAGAAAACATTGCAACTTCTCATATAAGTGGCTCTCAACTCTAATCTTTTACTTTTTTTAAGAAACATTAACTTACAATAGCCAGGAGGCCACTCGGCCCGCGAGATACCAAAGAGATTCAAAACGGGGAACAATATATCGTCGGTGCTGAAGGTGCGGGGAAGCGTCCAGGGGCGGGATGGAGGCCCAGATCCCTTGCCTGCTCGGGTCACGCCTCTTGAGCCGCTCACTTTTTGTCCAGTCCAGGCCACTGTCCAAGGCCCGCCCCCGGACGGCCCCGTCGCAGGCCGCGCACGCGCAGTTTCCCGCAGGCCCGGAAACGGAGCTAAGGACTCGGGTGGGTCAGTGTCAGCTTTTCTGATTCAACACTGGTGTTTGCAGGACACCCGCCAGTCCCCGGGCTCCAATCCGCAACACCCGCACTTCGGGGGTCACCACTACGATAAGAACCCTTTCACCCGCTTGTCCTGCGCCCGATGATTCCTGGCAGCACTGCCAGACATTCCAGGCCTGGGAGCCCCCCTGCGGGTTCAGGGGTCGACGACTATTTCGAGTTAAAGTTGCTGAGGCGGGTCCCCGCCCCGGGCCTCCCGCCTTCGGTCCAGGTAGATCGCGCCTGTCGCGTCTCCTTTCCTGCTGAAAAACGTTACGTTCCGGAACTCCCGCACGCTCCAGCCCTTTCTCCTTCGCGTCGTCCGGCGCTGGCCCCCGGGCTGCGCCTCCCTCGTCTCCTCCAGGCGCTCCTGCAGACTCCGACGCCACGTCTCCTTGGCCTTGGGCTTTTGCAGGCACACCCCTCTCCCGACACCCCTACACCTACGCGAACTCGGGAGCCGGCCCCTCCCCTCCTGAGTATGCCACTCAGTACTCACCGCCTTAGGAGCTCCTTCCGCACAATTCGCTTCCCACTGGCTTGTACTTGCCGTGGTGTGTTTCCATTATTGAAGCCGCACCGGCGAGTGTTCTCCCCAGGCAAAGAACATATTTATTTCATACTTGTGAGTGTCAGGGTTGGGGGCGAACCAGAGACAGTCTGACGGATAATGAGTAAGACTACGTGTGAGAGAAAGAAAGAAAAAGAGAGTAAAACAGGGAAGAGCAGGTGGATGTGAAGAAACAGTAAGAGCGGAGTGAACCAGAGAAAAGTAGAGGGAGGAAAGAAAGTAGAGAAATCTAGATTAAAAGGTTATCCCCAGAGAGGTGAACGGTAAGAGGGATTAACCAGTGATGGGAGTGGGGCAGCAAGGAGCAGGTACATCAGACTTGAGAGTGGAGGAGGAATAAAAGAATTGTGGCCGTGGGAGATAGAGGTGGTGCTGGGACAGAAAGAGGGGCAATGGGTGACAGAGACAGCAGAGGGACAAACAGAGCAGGGAGGGAATTCCCTGGCTTTAATCCCTTCTTTGGCTTCTGGTCGTCCTCAGGACAAAAATCCAGACTCCACTGTATGGCGACAGCTTGGAGCTCTGGAGGTGGGGTGACATTCCAGAGTCGGTCCAATGTGAGGAAGGAAAAGCCTTCTCTTTCCTGCATCGACCAGACGTTGGACACTGGCTGGCCAGCCAGGTGCTGTGGTGACGAGGCCCTTTGGCTGAGTCCGTTTACAAGGAGGGTATGAGCTGCCCAGCAGTCAGCAGTCAGACCGACAGCTGTGGGGCAGTTTGTGCCTGAATCCTGAGGGGCGGATTCAGGAAGTGCATCTAGTGTTTCTGTGGTTGTCTTCTGTGGGGTCTCTTAGGACCCATAAGGGGTTAACGGGAAAATGTCACCATTTGGGGGGTAATTTGTCGTGGTTTTGGTGGGGGAAAATCTCGTTTCAGGCAAAGCATTTCTGAAGGTATCACGTGTTTTGTGGGATATGATGACATTCGGGGGTGTTTCATTAGAAGGTACGGGAGTCTTGTTGGAGTATGTGGATCACTGCAGACATTGCTCTTGTATGACATTATGGAGGTGCCTGACTTTGGAGTATGGTCTCCAAGAGGGAACCTATCGAATCAGGGTTGGTGGGTGTTTTCCTGCCAAAACAGGACTAATATCAGGACCATGGGGTGGGATCCTTGGGCAAAGTGTGTAGATGATTAGGAGATTCTGCCATGTAAAATTGTGAGGGGTCCACTGGGAGTACAGCACAAACAGCATGGGAACCCGGAGGATTGTCCGAGTCAAGAGGGGAAACAGTGGGGGACTAGGGCCCAGGAGGCAGGTGTTTCCCTGGGGCAGGCTTGCTGGAGGTGGGTCTCTGGGAACAGCTGCAGAGGGGCTGTGAGGCCCAACACTACAAGTCTCAGGATCCTTTGGATACACATGGTGATATCGTCCATCTTTAAAAAAAATCCACAAAAAAGAATCTTTTACTACATACTCCCATCTTTATTTTTATTATTAAAAAAAATTTTTTTAAATGTTTACTTTTGAGAGAGCGAGCATAAGTTGGGGAGGAGAAGAGAGAGACACAGAGACATAGAATACGAAGCAGGCTCCAGGCTCTGAGCTGTCAGCACAGAGCCTGATGTGAGGCTCGAGCTCCTACACGGTGAGATCATGACCTGGGCTATAGTCGGACGTTTAACGGACATGAGCCCCCCCAGCCCCCTTTCCTCCCATCTTTAAAATAAAGAATCCTCCATTAGCTAAATTCCCCACGGTGGTAAGTGCCCTGGGGGTGTGCTTCCTTTCAGAGCACAGTACACAAAACACTTGTTTATACTCTGCTTCAGATCTTGGTCCCGGTTCTCAGTTTCATATCCACCGTGCCGCTGAGACTCCATGTCCGAGTCACCGGGGACCGCCCTACCTCTCAGTCCAGGAATTAGCTTCCTCTTCTCATCACACTGGTCCCAGCAACAGCACGCGGGGTTCCCTCTTTCCAAAGCACTTTTCTCTTGGCTTCCACATCACACTACTTTTTTACAAGTAAAATCTGTTTTATTTTCTTCTCCATGTTCATGTGACCGTTTCCTGTGCCTGTTTCTCCTCTTTGGTCTCTGACTGCACGAGCCCCCTGGGCTTAGGCCTTGAAAGCCTTCTCAGTTCCTGCCTTTCCACCTCACCCATCTCATGACTTCACCACTGATGTCTCCTTTCACCGCTCCACCCGACCTCTCTCCTGAAACCAGGGTGCTTTATCCAGTTGTCTCCTCGATGTCCCTGCTGGGACAACAGCCTGGTATCTTCACCTTAATATGTCTAACTCTGATCCCCCAAACTCTTCCAAACGTGTCCCTTACAGTCCACCTCTGCATATAGGGTGACCCTGTATTTCCTGTGGCTTAGATGGGCATCTTGACATGTTTGCAAAACATACATTACTTGTGTTTTAACTTAGGACAAAATAAATAAAAATCAGATATTTACTCAAAATGGATAAGGGAATACATGAGGTATGGGGGAAATTTTTTAAGAATCTAGTCCTTTCTGAATTGCTTCCTTTAATACTCTCTGATCTTACCTTCTTGTCTCTGCTCACCCTGCTCCAGCCGCGCAGGCCCCTGTCCTTTCTGGAGCTCGGCACGCCACTACCTTAGGGTCTTCACAAGGGTGTCCTTCTCCTTGAAGTCTCTGACTCCTCATGTGCAGGTGGTAAAATCTCTTCTTTCCTCTGGTCTTTGTTCTGACATCACCTCTCGGTGGTGCCTTCCCGCCAGAAGAGAAGGGGGCTGTGCTGGCCTCTGAGTGTGCTTCACCCGGCTTCACACTAAATCTGAGGCAGTCTGCAGATACAGCTCGGTGCCCCTCCCAGAGATTCCCCTTCAAGTGGTCAAGGGGGGTAAGGCCCAGCCTCAGTACTAGTGAAAGTGCCTCAGGGGTTTCTGAAATGTATCCAGCTTCGAGCACCAAGGCTCTGGGTCTTCCCTGAGGCTGACATCAGCCCCTGACCCAGGGAGAGGAGAGGGGGCCCCGCTGTGTGTGGGGTGTGATCAGGCAGGTCTGTGATCTGCAAGGGAGTGTCAGGTCCCCACTGCTGCCTTCGGGGGGGGGAGGGCGGCCTTTACCAGGGTGGGAGCCAATCCTGCAGAAAGGAGTGGGAACACTCACTTGTTGGCGTCTGTAGGAGGTCACTGTCCCAGGGCACCCCCGGCGGCCACGGGCAGCAGAGGCCTGTTCTCACACAGAGAGGTCTTCCTGTGTGAGGCTGCAGGACGGGGAGGACCCAGACTGACTCTAAGCATTAAACCGCATATTCTTGACACTCAGGATTGAGTTCCCAAGACTGACCCTGCCTGAGGAAGAATCCTGGAAGAGGAGGAAGAGCAAAGGAAAGGGGTCGGGAATGGCCGTCTGTCAGGTAAAGTCATATTCTCGCTTGATTTTCTGTCTCTCATTGCTGCAAGGCCCTTCTTGGACTTGCTAACCTTCTCTGACAGAAGCGTCCTGCCTACACGGGCTCGTCCACACTCCCCCAGGCCCTCCCTCGGTCCCTCTCCTCTCCACTAGACTAGCTCATCGTGACCCAGGGACCTGGAGCCTGTGAGGAGGCTGCACTGGGTGCGTCCTTAGGGGCTACAGGGCAGGCGACTGGTGACAGGTGTGGCCCGTGGTGTCAGTTCAGTTGGGCAACAGGGAGGTTTAGGGGCCGCATCTGATGCACTGTCGGCTCTGTCGACCAGGAAGAAAGAAGCCACATGTGGAAGTCCTGGACTAATGTGTGGGAATAGTTGGAAGATTCTAGAAAAGAAGCCTGGTAAGAGGAAAGCAGCTCTGCCTGACTTTAATGCATTCAGAGCTAAACAGGTGTACCATGGTGTTTCTGGTTTTGAAACACTAATGATTTAGAATCAAGTTCAGAAATTGGCATCCGTGATAGAGGATGTTTTATTCCATAGTTGATTTTACAGTGTGGAGTCAACCTAACCAATGGGAAGAGGTTTTTTAAAAATCATTCTCAGCACATCTATCCCACAGAGACCACGGTGTTTCTACAGCAACTCTTGTGTGGCAGATGTTTTAGGTGAAAATGGTGTTAATTTAGCCAAGACCTGGAGCACAGAACTTTATTTTCACCATCAGAGGGGCTATAGCCAAATTCTGATTCCACCATTATTTTTAAGTTTTGTGTCTCTTTTACCTTATTTAAAAAGAAAAATTTTTTTAATGTTTATTTATTTTGGAGAGAGAGACCAACACCACAAGCAGGGGAGAGGCAGAGAGAGTGGCACAGAATATGAAATAGGCTCCAGGCTCTGAGCTGTCAGCACAGAGCCCAAAACTGGGCTCGAACTCTGAATGGTGAGATCATGACCTGAGCCGAAGTTGGACGTCTAGTTGACTGAGCCACCCAGGTGCTTCTATCTCTTTGACTTTAAAGATCACAAGTGAGTGAGTGATGTTATATACGTATGTATGTATGTATTGATTGATTGATTAAACTCCAAACGAAGAAGTGACTTAAAGCACAAAGATGTAGTTGGAAGGTGATGCCCTTGCCTGTCATGTCCCCACCCTTCATGTCTCAGTGGGGAACTGATGTTGCCAATTCTGTGGCAAGAGTCTGTTCAAACCTGATAAAAATACACTTACACATTGTTATAAGTATATTTTAGGAAATCTCAGTGAAGTTTGCTGTAACATTTTATTATGCCAATTAGAAAAATTTACACAGCACGTCTAGACACAGTGTTCCTGTTAACACAGATACAGCTTGCTCATTTAGAGCCTCATTGCTGCATTCTGTTAATGAGGACACACAGGACCTTCACCAGTTTTCACTCACGTAAAGAATACCACGGAGGCTGTCCATGGAGTAGGCTGACCTCTCTGTTCTCATTCCCATTAGAAGTTGCACTGGGGAACCTATTTGCAAGACATTTCCCAACCCATGTGAAGGACATAACAAAGACATGACCAAAGACTGACAAACCTAATTCTTTTTTTTTTTTTTTTTATTTTAATGGCTCTTTATTTCTTTTTGAGAGAGGCACAGAGCATAAGCAGGGGAGGGGCAGAAAGCGAGAGAGACACAGAATCTGAAGAAGGATTCAGGTTCTGAGCTGTCCTCTCATGGGAATGAGAACATGAGAACTCTTCCCAAGGATCCATGATGAAATGTACTTTCGTTTCAGGCACAGCTGACCTTCAGGGATGTGGCCATAGAATTCTCTCAGGAGGAGTGGGAGTGCCTGGACCCCGCTCAGAGGGCCTTGTACAGGGACGTGATGCTGGAGACCTACAGGAACCTGGTCTCCCTGGGTGAGGAAAGTGTCCCTCCGGAAGTCAGGATCTGCTCCAGTGAGTCTCTTGGGATCCCTTGCCCAGCTTGATGGAGATTGAGGCTGGGTTCATTCTGGAATGAGAACCTTTATGAGGTAGCATCTTCTGTCCCATCCCCCTTTCTTCAGGTGGTCTGCCCACTCCACCCTAGATTAGTGGTGCCTCCAGAAGTTGAGGAAGAACAAAACCTTATGGTAAACTTTAAAAAAGATCTGATTCTGGATCCATCTGTATCCATGTACTTCTGACTCAGTAGTTCTTGGAAGAGAGCTGGATATCTATGTTTTAAACAAAGTCCTTAAGCATTCAGAAGGAGAGAGTGAACAGGCCTGTGGAATGTTTTTCTAGACATGTGTAACATACTCTCTCCTCAGCTGAGCAAAGGTCTGGAATTGCATTCTGGAAAAGACACGGCACATCACATTCCTTTCTTTTTATAAGCAGGAATCTCTCTTTCTGTCCTGAATAATATCTTTATTTTGGAGCAAGGGAAAGAGCCCCAGACTGGAGGTCAAGGTGAAAACAGTGAAAAAGTCAAATGGGTAGGAACACAGGCAAGAGTTCAGAAGGCACAGAGGAGGCCGCACCATTAATGGTGTTTGGGGAACTCTCTGCCAGCGGGGGAGTTCTGTGTGGAAAAATGTTTCTTTCTTGTGAGCTCTTGGAGGAAAAGCTTACTTCCCTTTCCCTCGTCACTCCACACTTCAGCCGTGTGGAAATGCATCCTCCCAACCCCCAGCTCATGCAAAGACCAATGCAAAATCTTCATCATGGCCTGTAGCACTCTATTATATGCCCCTATGACCTATTTTTTTTTTCCTTAAGATTTAATTTTTGGGATACCTGGGTGGCTCAGTTGGTTAAGTGTCTGATTTCAGCTCAGGTCATGATCTCATGGTCTGTGGGTTCGAGCCCCGCATCGGGCTCTGTGCTGACAGCTCAGAGCCTGGAGCCTGCTTCGGATTCTGTGTCTTCCTTTCTCTCTGCCCCTCCCCAGCTTGTGCTCTGTCTCTCAAAAATAAGCAAACATTAAGATTTTATTTTTAAGTAATCTTTCCACCTAACATGGGGCTCAAACTTACAACTTCAAGGTTTCAAGTTGCAGCCAGGTACCCATGTACCTGTGACCTCTTTGGTTCCTTGACGACAAGGGGCACTAGGGGGCTGGTTTTAAGGGGTTGTCTTTCTTCCTTGCCCTCATCCCATTCTTGTTCCTAGTCCACGGGTCAGAGCTAAAGCCTCCCCCATCGTGGCATCAGGCCTTCTCTAGGATCATCCTCATTCTGTGTGCTTGGGAGACCTGCTCCCGGGGTTGGAAGACAGCATCTGTGGCCCCAGAGCTCTCTGCCTCTTGAGGCCCTTTCTTCAGCTTTGCTTTTACTCCATATTAGAGTGTGTGTCACGGGGCTGGGTAGGTCTTTCAATCCAGCACTGAAAGTGTTTTGACTCAGCAGGAGTATAAAAGCACGTCCACACCACATTATACTGTTAAGTTTTGCTATGTTAAGTTTTTGTTTCTTTTCTCTCAAAGTATTTTCTGCTTTCCCGTGTGATACCTTCTTTGACTCACTGGATATTTTTTTAAGTGTTTAATGATTTTCATGCATTTATGTGCTTTCCAGTTTTCCTTCAGGTACTCATTTCAAGTTCATTCTTCTGTGGAGAAGATACTTTGTATGATTTAACTCTTTTTCAGTTTGTTGAGACTTACTTCATGGACTGGTACATAATCTATCCTGGAGAATGTCCCACGTGCAAGTAGAGCAGAATGCATTTTGCTCTTATAGGTGGGGTGCTCCATATACGTCTGTCAGTACTGGTTGGTTTATTCTCAGCTAAAATTGTCTGTGTCCTTCCTGAATTTCTGTCTGGCTATACTCTCCATCATTGAAAGTGAGGTCTGGAAGTCTCCAGATACTATTCCATAACTATTTTTATTTCTCCTTTCAATTCTATAAATGGTTCATATATTTTGGGGTTCTCTTCTGTATGTGTTCATATTTGTTGTAATTCCTTAATTAGTTATCATTTTTTTAATATATATTGTCCTTTGTCTCATAACAAGTTTTCCTTAAAGTCTATTTTGTCTGATGCTATAGCCACTAGGAAACCAAAAAATTAATTGGATTCACAATGCTCTCGGAGCCCACAATGTCTCCATGCCTGTATATAAAAACTTTGCTTCTATAAATCCTGTTCTTTTCTCCTCTGCTGCTGTCACAAATTCTCTCTCTGTATATCATGTGGCCATCAGTGGTCCACAACTAAATCACAGATTTTGAAATACTGTTTGATACTGTTGTTTTTTTTATCAGAAAGGAAAAAGAGGAGTGACAAACCAAAAACACATTAATACTAACCTTATGCTCACCTGTTTACTGTCTTTATTACTGTTTCTTACTTCTCAATGTGGATTTGAGTTTTTGTTTCTTCCTTCACATCAGCCTGAAGCACTCCCTTTACCATTTTGTTTTGATTTGTTGTTTTTGTTAGACTGGTCCACCAGCAAGGGACTCCCAGTGTTTTTGTTTTTCTGGCAATGTTTTAAGTTTTCCTCTATTTTTGAAGGATAGTTTTGAAGTGTATAGAATCCTCAGTAGACCTCTATTTCTGTTTAGCACTGTGAAAATGTCATCCTGTTGCCTTCTGGTCCATATGGTTTGTGGTGTTAAATCATTGGGTAGTTTTATTGATGATCTCTTTTACCAGAGGAACTACCCTTTGCCACTTTCAGGATTCTGTGTCTTTGGTTCTTGACAGTTTGATTATGAAGTGTTTCTCTGTGGGCATCTTTCAGTTTATCTTACTCGGGGCTTGCTGAACTCCTTGGATATGTAGACTTATGTACTTCACCAAAGTTGTGAATTTCTCTGCCTTATTACTTCAGATATTTTTTCTGCCCACTTCATTCTGTCCTCTCCTTCTGGAATTCCCATGATTTATGTTGCTACACTTGAAAGTGCCCCACAAGTCTCTTATTCTCCATTTTTCTTCATGCTTTTTTCTTTCTGCTGCTGAGACTGGGTAATCTCAACTGACTTAATCTTCAAGTTTGCTAATTCTTCTGCCTGTTCAGTTTGGTGTTAAACTCCTTTAAATGGATTTTTCCATTTTAGTGTTTTTACTTTTCAGCTCCAGAATTTCGATTCTGGTTCCTTTTTATAATTTCTGCCTCCTTACTGATATTCTCAATTTTGAGAAATATTGCTGTCATTGGGTCCTTTCTTTGGTTCTTTGCATATGGTCTCCTCATAGTTCTTTCAGCATATTTTAAATTAGTGACATAAATTCTTTGTCCAGCAAGTCTGATGTTTGGGCTTCCTCAGGAAAAATTTTTGTTAAATTGCTTCTTTTCTTATGTATGGACTATAAATCATCGTTGGTTTGCATATCTCACAATTATTTTTTTAAGTTAAACATTTTGTGTATTATGACAACTCTGGAAGTCACATTCTCCCACACCCACACCCTCACCCCAGTATTGGTTGTTGCTGTTTATTGCAGTTGCTCTTGTTTGTTTAGTAATTTTTCTGAGTCAGTTCTGTCAAGTCTGTATGCTTTGTCACATGTGGTTACTCAAGTCTCTGGTTAGCTTAGTGGTGAGCTAGTAATTAAACACATAGCTTCTCAAACACCTGGAACCAAAAAAAAAAAAAACAAGAAGCAAAAACTCCTAGTCTTTGGAAATAGACTTTGTATAATTCAGCTTGGCAGTTTACAACGGTGCCTTAGCCTTTACCTCCTGTTTTACTGAGACTGAAGGTTAGCAGGAGGTAAGGACCACCTCATGTGTTTACTGAGCACTGGCCCTGGGTATGTGCATGACTTAGATTCCTAGGAATGTGTAGCTGTTTTTCAAAGCCCTTATTCCCCAAAGCATTTCATTCCTCAGCCTTCCATCCCTGGCTTCACAGTGTCTGCTCTTGGCCCCAAGTGTGTCATCTGCTACTATACTTGCCTTTAAATATGCTTGTCAAATGTGCACCACCCCCACCCCTGCCCCACCTGGCATAGCACTTCTTGAATTAGGCAAAGGCAAAACTTTTTGAGCCAGTTTTTCGTTGAGCCACAAAGAAGATCAAAGTAAAAACCACAATTCTTAGAGAATCAAGTCTGTTTTGCCTCTCCCAGTACAAGGGATCTATACCAGGAACATGGGCCACCTCTGTGCTGGAGAGAATGGGATTGAACCAGGGGAAGTTAAAATGTTAAAATCTCTCCAACTGAGATCAGCTGCCTTTTTTTTTTTTTTAAGTGTCTACATGATTGGTGTAAACCTTTGTTTGGTTTCTGGAATTCTGATAAAGTGGATTCTGACAGTTTTTGCCAACTTACTTGCTGTTTTAATGGAGACAAGCACTTAGAATACTCCATGATGTTCATGCCTTTACTTTCTTAACCAGTTATTTATAATACTATTTATCTGGAAACTATGGTTTCAGAAGCCAGTGGGTATGTGAGTTATTTAGACTGCTATGAATATGGGGAGCTTTGCTCAACATATCTTCCAGTTCTCATACTGTGTGCTCTTCCTGGAATGTAAGTCCTTTCTCTTGTTCTTAAGAAAGAAATCATTAGAACTCCACAGTCTATAATTGTGTGTAAGTGTGGTTACTTATTATTTACCTGTTGGATTTATCTTGGTTTAATTTAAAAACTGCACTTATTAACTTGTCATCTACAGATTATGAATTTCAGTATTTAGTGTGGAATATGACTGCAATTCACCAATTGTTAATGTTCTAAAATGCCTATGCTGCATACAGCATAGTTTTAGAGTAGATATTAAGAATATTTTCTTGGGGCGCCTGGGTGGCTCAGTCAGTTAAGCATCCGACTTCGGCTCAGGTCATGATGTCACAGTTCGTGGGTTTGAGCCCTGAGTTGGGCTCTTTGCCGACAGCTAGCTTGAGCTTGGAGCCTCCTTCAGATTCTGTGTCTCCCTCTCTCTCTGACCCTCCCCTGCTCACACTATCTCTCTCTCATAAATAAATAAAAACATTAAAAAAATTTAAAGAATATTTTATTCCAGTGATGTCATATTAAAATCTTCTTGACTTTCCTATTATACCTTTTTACTTTTATAGTTTGTAACTTCCATATATTTATCTTATTAATTTTTTTGAAAGATTTTATTTTTAAGGAATCTCTATACCCAACATTGGGCTCAAACTCATGACCCCAAGATCATGAATCACATGCTCTACTGACAGCCAGCTAGGCACCCCTAATTAACTTTTTTATGGATTATTTGTCATTACTTCATGTAGAACTGTGTCTCATCATTTACTTGCATATAGTAATTATACCATAAATATGCATTTGTATAATATGTTTGTTTTCAGTATGAGACACCTATTTGTCTCCTGGCAACTGGTGTGTGTTTTGGTGTGGTGGTCAAAGAATACACTTTCAGAACTTACATAAGTTTACAGAGTGTGAATGATTTGGTCATAGGGTATTTCAAAGTAGATTTCCCTTAAAATAATTCGAAATACCTATATCTTTTATTAAAGAATTCTATTCACCTTGCTTTCTTAAACATTTATAGACTTTGGTTGAGAGTTTTTATCTCTTCAATATAAGTTTTACTTTTAGTGTAATATCCATCTTGCAACTCTAGTTAATATGAAGATTATTGGTTTTTTTTTTAATATATATCTTTCAGATAGCTCTGCTACATTCATGATCAAGGAATTATTATCAGTGAGAGACATTAATAATGGAGAACTATACCAATCAGTGGTTGTGGGAAGACCGGAAAGTCATGGCCTTGAGGATTTTGACTGCAGGGAAGTCTGGAGAAATATGTATGAATTTGAGAGCAAGTGTGGATATGAAAAAAGAAATTCAAAAGGAATGCTTGTGACAGATAACCTAAATCTCACTGGTCGAAGAGATAAACAAGACAGCAAATCATGGATTAATTTACCTTTAAAGCAGAGTGTTTCTTTAAGAAAAAGTGCATATCAATATTTTAAACAAGGGAAATCATTAATAAAAAATTTGTTAAAAATAAAAAACAATGTAGTCTGTGCAGGAAACAAGTATACAGAATGTTTGGAAAATAGAATTGGATTAAGCTCCCAGTCGCATCTGGCTGAACAGCAGAGATTTCAAACTGAGGAGAAAATCAATGGAGGTAATCAAGTTGAGAAGTCTGTCAAAACTTGTTCAATTTTGCCGCTTCAAAGATTGCCTCCTAGTGTCAAAACCAGCATTTGTAATAAACATAGAAAGGTTTTTATGTGTCCGTCATTGCTTACACAGCACCAGAAAACAAAAATTAGAGAAAAACCATACAAATGTAATGAATGCGGAAAGACTTTTACCCATCATTCAGTCCTTACTAGTCATCAGAGAATTCATTCTGAGCAGAGACCTTACAAATGTAATGAGTGTGGTAAAGCGTTTAAGCAGTTCTCCAACCTCACAAGACATCAGAGAATCCACACCGGAGAAAAACCATATAAATGTAATGTATGTGACAAGGTCTTTAATCAAAATTCCCACCTTACAAACCATTGGAGAATTCATACTGGAGAAAAACCACACAAATGTCATGAATGTGGTAAGGCTTTCATTAAATGTTCAGACCTCTGGCGTCATGAAAGAATTCACACAGGAGAGAAACCTTACAAATGTCATGAATGTGATAAGGGTTTTACCAAACGTTCATATCTTTGGGATCACAAAAGAATCCATACTGGAGAGAAACCATACAAATGTACTGAATGTGGCAAGGTTTTTAGGCAGTGGTCCACCCTTAGGATTCATCGAAGAATCCATACTGGTGAGAAACCTTATAAGTGTAATGAGTGTGGCAAGGCTTTTAAGCAGTGCTCACACCTCACTAAGCATCAGAATATACATCCTGGAGAGAAGCCACACAAATGTACTGTGTGCGCCAAGGCTTTTATCCACATTTCAAGCCTTGTGAAACATCAGAAAATTCATTCTGGAGAAAAACCACACAAATGTAATGAATGTGGTAAGGCTTATATCCAAAGTTCAAGTCTTGTGGAACATCAGAGAACTCATACTGGTGAGAAACCTTACATATGTAACGAGTGTGGCAAAGCCTTTACCGTGCGTTCAAGCCTAACTAAACATAAAAAAAAACATACTGGTGAGAAGCCTTATAAATGTAATGAATGTGATAAAACATACACACAACTTGTGCACCTTACAAGACATCAGAAAATACACACTGAAAAGAAACATGAATCTAGTATTCATGATAATGCTTTCATTCAAAGCTCAAGCCTAGGGGATCATCAGAGAATTCGTGGAAGAGAGAAACCTTACAAATGTAATGAGTGTGGCAAATCCTTTAACTGGTGCTCACGCCTTACTCGACACCAGAGAATCCATACTGGGGAGAAACCATATAAATGTAATATGTGTGGCAAGGCTTTTAGTCAAAATTCAAACCTTACAATTCATCAGAGGATTCATACTGGAGAGAAACCTTACAAATGTAATGAATGTGACAAAGCCTTTAAGCAGTATTCAAGCCTCACTAGACATCAGAATATACATCCAGGGGAGAAACCACACAAATGTATTGTGTGTGGGAAGGCCTTTATCAAACGTTCGCACCTCTGGGGTCATGAGAGAACACATACTGCAGAGAAACCGTACAAATGTACTGAACGTGGCAAGGCCTTTAGACAATGGTCTGACTTCAGGATTCACCAAAGAATTCATACTGAAGAGGAACCTTAGAAATGTAATGAATGGTGGGGCACCTGAATGGCTCAGTCAGTTAAGTGACCAACTTCAGCTCAGGTCATGATCTCATGGTTCAAGGGTTTGAGCCCTGCATTGGGCTCCATGCTGGTGGGTGGAACCTACTTGGGATTCATTCTCTCTCTCCCCCCTTCTCCTTCTCTCCCTTCCCCTCCCTCCCTCTCCCTCTTTGCCCCTTCCTCACGTTGTCTCTCAAAATAAATTTTTAAGAAATATGAATAAAAAAGAAATGTAATGAATGACAAATCATTTAACCATTTTCCACAACACACTATAAATAAGAGGATTTATACTAGGGAGAATTAAGTCTCTAGTCGAAGCTTAATCAATTCAGATGTTAAATTTTTCAGAGTAATTAAAAGCCAAAATCATTTAAGACTCATGCAATGAGTATCAGTGGAACAAGGAGATCTTTAGTAGTAATGTACCATGTATTTTTTAAAAATTTTAAGTGCCGTTTTTTAAAAAAAATGTTTTTTTTTTAATGTTTATTTTTGAGAGAGAGAGAGACAGAGCATGAGCAGGGGAGGGGCAGAGAGAGAGGGAAAGAATCCCAAGCAGGCTCTGCAGCACAGAGCCCAGTATGGGGCTTGAACTCAAAAACTATGAGATTATGACCTTAGCTGAAACCCATGAGTTGATGCTTAACCTGCTGAGCCACCCAGGCACCCCTTGTACCATTTCTTTTAAAACTACTTTTTTTTATTTGACATTTCTTAAAAATTACATCACTACTGATGTCTTTCAGCCTGAAGTTTGGAATCTGTTGATGATATACTTTCATTACATGTTTTATGTATGTTACCATGATGGTCTCTGGGAGCAGATCGGTAGATAAAAGGGTCTTTATTAAATGAGAATCATTCTTATCCATGTACCCTGAAGGAACACTGAATTTCAACATACAATGTTGTGTGGTACTGAATGAGAAAATGGGTTGGCCAGAGAATATATATAAAATAATGATGTAAATAATATGTTCAGGAACCCTTCTACAGATTTGTCGGTATGACAGAGGACCACTGGATTATCAGAAACCATGGTTGTGCCAGACAGGCATGAAAAAGCAAGCTTTAAGATTAGGAGAGTGAGATTTTCATGATAGGTTAGCAGGGACTGCCTATGTAATAGAAACAATGGAGAAGGAATAGTAGTCATCCTCTCTAATGAAAAGTAGTGGTTGTATATCAAAGATGAATGAAAATTTAGTCTTGTTTGGGGGAACGAAAAGACCAATTATCAGAGAGGAGAACTTAAAACAACCAGAATACATTGTAGAGGTGCAGGATTTGCATTTAACCACTACACTGATGTTTTACTCGATATATCATAGTTCTGTTTTCATTAATAAATGTAATCATTTTTTCAAAACTCTAAACAAAGTGGTTTTTTTTCCCCTATCAGATCAAGTCTATCCTGTCTCCTTATAGTGCTTCAAAACAAACAGTAACAATATATCTTCAGGCTGTCAAGGCTGAAAGGCATCTGCAACAATTTTCTTCCATGATGGAATCAAAGAACATACAATTTTATGAATATATAATTTACTTGAGTGACTCCCTCCACACTCTGCCTCTTGGATATTTAGGTGGCTATGATTAAAATACCATAACAGTGCAACCTTAGACTCTCTAAACATGTGAAGTGCAATTCATGAATGTGCATCTGATGTTTCCGTATACCCTTGTTTGTGCCTACGTGAGACTCATGACTTGCACTGGCCTTGATTTACATGAAGCAAAAAATATATATATACATACCCAGACACATATATACATATGTATCTATATCTACATAGAGATAATAGATAATAAATATACACACACATAATCTCTACACCCAATGTGGGGCTCAAACTGAAAACAACCTTGAGATCAAGGGTCACCTGCTCTACTGACAGAGCCAGGCAGGCACCCTGAGGCCAAATATTAAGCAAATGAGAAGTGTTAGGAAATAAAAGAAAATTTCAGGAGCAGATATATGATATGAACAAAGTTTCCCCCCCCACCCCCACCCTACTTGGAGCTTTCACTGGAGTATTTTGGAAAGCTCACTGATCATGAGTTTCCCCCTTAAGAATGAACATACATGCTTGAGGTTACATTAGTCTTGTTTTGTTTGTAGGCCAACTAGGAACTTCATATATCGACCCCCTAGAAAATAGTTAATTTGCACTTTTAGATATTCCACAGTTATAAGATGAACTGCTATCTGAAATTTAGCCTTGGGTATCAAGATGAATAGTGCTAATCACCAAAAAGGGCATGAAGATGTTTAAAGCACAATGAGACTTTCTAGGGAGAGCAGGACAGGTTTCCAAAGTTGCCACAAAAATGGCTGGAGAGAGCAAGAGGAAGAGACTCGCTTCAGGTTTCTACGGAGTTTATAATAGACAGTGGGTGTGTGTGGTTTGATCTTCCTTGGGCATCAAACAAAGGAGCACTTGGGCTTCTAAATTTGGCCACTTGTAGAGGGGAAGAGGGAGATGCATTGAATGTGTGCAGTAGTCTGTGTGTGTGTGTGTGTGAGAGAGAGAGAGAGGGAGAGAGAGAGAGAGGGAGAGAGAGAGAGAGAGAGAGAGAGAGTGAGAGAGAGAATGAATTATCCCCCAAGCTGTAGCAAATTCAGGGAAGGCAGTTGAGAGAGGGCTGAGGCTTACAAGCTGTCTGTCCATGGTCAAATACCAAAAACCAAAAAGCAAAAAACTGGAGTGAGATTCGAATACAACACAGAATGTTTACTCTTAAACCTCCTGATTGCCTGGTTAGGAGAGACCCGTTTTCATGCTAATAATTTCTTACTCATCCTTTCCTGCTACATACATAGGACCCTTTACCCAGTATAACTGTTGTAAGTGAAATACTGAAATACTGTTTAGATAAATTGCCTCAGATGCTTTTACACTAGTTTCATGATCATTAATGTGTGGCAGTGTTTATCAGACAGTAGATTATGATTCAATAATCTTAGTAGAAGAGTTTTTCAAAAGTTATAAAAATCTCAATTTGTGATTCTATTAAGCATTATATGATTCTTTCAACTCTAGTAAAATTCTTTTTATTTAGAAATTTTTCCTTAACCCATTTTATATATATTTTACATTTTTTCTCTGTGTTACTACATTGAAAATTTTGAAAAAATGTACGAGTTAAAGATTCTTTTAAGAGTTGTGTAACATGATAATGCACCCAGGACAGTAAGAGGTACAAAGTAGTGCTTTATAGATATGAAGAATAAGAGTCCCTTTATACCTTTTTAGTTCAGTGGAAAAAGTAGGACAGTATGAAATTGTGAACTAGAATCTAGTAAGGTGGAGCTAGGAGACCCTTTGATACCCCACAAAACTAATACCAGGATCCGGGGAACACAATATATTCATTTTACCTTATATCCAATTCTTCTATTATTGCCACAAGACTGATCATTTCTGTCCTACATTATTGCAATAGATACTGGAACTTAATTTTTTCTTATTATTTTTATTTTTAAATTTAAAGGCGAGTTAGCATATAGTGCAATAATGATTTCAGGAGTAGAATCCAGTGATTCATCCCTTATGTGTAACACTCAGTGCTCATCCCAACAATTGTCTTCCTCAATGACCCTTATCCATCTAGCCCATCCCCCCTCCCACAACCCCTACAGAGGGAGAGAGAAGCTTAAGCAGGCTCCACACCCAGTATGGAGCCCAAAGCAGGGCTTGATCTCACAACCACGAGATTATAATTTGAGCTGAAATCAAGAGTTGGATGTTTAATCAACTGAGCCACCCAGGCGCCCCCCATAAAATGCACTCTTGAAATGTACATCTCAGTGGCAAGGATGTCTTCTCTCACCATTTTTTTTTTTTATTTTTTTATTTCTAGGATAGAGAGAGACAGCGTGAACAGGGGAGGGTCAGAGAGAGAGGGAGACACAGACTCTGAAACAGGCTCCAGGCTCTGAGCTGGCAGCACAGAGCCCGACGCAGGGCTTGAACTCACAAACCGGGAGATCATAACCTAAGCGAAAGTCGTACGCTTAACCGACTAAGCCACCCAGGCGCCCCTTCTCTCACCATTCTTGTTCAAGAATGTACTAGAAGTCCTAGCTAATGCAGTAAGAAAAAAGAGTAGAACAGACATTCTGAACCAAGAAATAAAAGTGTCTTGTTCACAGACCACATGGTCTATGTAGAAACTCCATAGAATCAAAAAGAAAAAAACTTTTGGAACTATAAAATGATTATAGCAAGACTGAAGGATACGAGGTTAAGACTATTATCCACCTAAATTTCATATAGAGCAATTTTAATGCACAATGTGATAATGTGTGGAAGTGGTGCCCCCGGGAAGTCAGTGACTGCATGACAGTGGAACCCTCATGAATGAAATTAGTGACCTTATACAAGGGACCTTAGAGAGCTCTTACTCTCCACCATATGAGAATCCAACAAGAAAACAGCCTTTTGCAGCCAAGAAATAGGGCTCTCACTAGATACCTAAATTAGCCAGCACATTGATCTCGGACTTCCAGCCTCTAGAATTCTGAGAAACATCTGTTGTTTATAAACCACCTAACAGTCTGTTACTTTGTTATAACAGCTCAAACCAACTAAGACAGTACACAAGCCAGCAATGAACAAGTGGAATTTGAAATTAAAAACACAGTAACTTTATACTACCAGAAAAGGACGTTATACTTGGGTATACGTCTAACACAGTATGAGCAGGATCTACATGAAGAAAGCTAGATGATAGAACAAAATCAAAGAAGAACAAAATAAATGGAGAGATTTCAGGTATACAGACAGACAGACTCAACAGTGTCAAAGTGTCATTCTTCCCAACTTGACTTACAGATTCAATGCAATCCCAAACTAAATAGCAAATTATTCTGTGGATATCAACATACTGATTCTAAAGTTTATATAGACAGGCAAAAGACACACAGTAGCAAACAAAACACTGAAGGCGCTGAACAAAGTCAGAGAACTTGATTTCAAGCCTTACTATAAATATACAGTCATCAGTGGGGTGCCTGGGTGGTCAGACGGTTAAGCCAACTTTGGCTCAGGTCATGATCTCGTGGTTTGTGAGTTCAGGCCCTGTGTCAGGCCCTGTGCTGACAGCTCAGAGCCTGGAGCCTGCTTCAGATTCTGTGTTTCCCTGTCTCCCTGCCCCTCCCCCACTTATGCTCTCTCAAAAAATAAACATTAAAATTTTTTTAAATATACAGTAATCAAGACACTGTGGTATTAGCAAATGAATACATAAATAGATCAAAGGAACATAATGGACAGCTCAAAAATGGACCCATACAAATATAGTCAACTGATCTTTGACAAAGGAAGCAAAGCAATACAATGGAGAAAAGGTGGACAAATGGACATCAGTGTGCAAAAAAAAAAAAATGTATCTAGACACAAACCTTATTCCTTTCACAAAATTCAACTCAGAATTAATCACAGATGTAAATGTGAAATGCCTAACTATAAAATTCTTAGATGACATAGGAGAAAACCTAGAGGACCTAGGTTTCATCACTTTTTTGATGTAACACCAAAGGCACAATCCATGGAGGTAATAATAATTTGGATCTCACTAAAATTAATAACTTTTGTTGTGCAAAAAACTCTGTCAAGAGAATGAGAAAACAAGGCACAGATTGGGGTAAAGTATATGCAAAGCACATTTCTAAAAGGACTGGTATTGGAATACACAAAGAACACCCTCAAAGCCTAATAAGAATGCAAAAAAAACCCATTATTTAAAAATGAGAAAAAGAGTACAATAAACACCTCATCAAAGAAGAAACATTGGATGGCAAATGAAGCACATGAAATATGCTCTACATCTTGTATCATTAGACAACTGAAAAGGAAAATGAGTTGTCACTATGCATCTATTACAATGGCCAAAATCCAAAATCCTGACACCAGTGAATGCTAGTAAGGATACCGAGCAACAAATACTATCATTCACTTGGTTTCTTATAAAACTCAAAATATACTCTTAGCACAATCTAACAATCACATTCCTTAGTATTTATACAAATGAGCTGAAAACTTATTTCCATGTAAAACCTGGCACATAAATGTTTATAGGAACATCTGCATAACTGCCCAAACTTGGAAGTAACCAAGTAGGTGAATGGTTAAAAAAGCTATGATGTATCTAGACAATGGCACATTATTTATCACTAAAAATAAATGAACTATCAAGCCAGGAAAAGACATGGAAGAACCTTAAGAGCACCTTCCTAAGTGAAAGAGTCCAATCTGCAAAGACTACACAACATATTGTTCTAACGACATGACATTCTGGAAAGAGCTAAAGCATGGACACGTAAAACATGGACAGGGAAAACACTTCCCCACGTAGACCAGTTGGTCAGCCACTCTAGGAATCTGACACGTGAGCGAGGACCCAATCTATTACATTTTCTGTAAGCATCACTTGATTAGGCTCATGAGGCCAAGCTGCTTCATTCGCCTCCACTACAGGAATGCAGGTTCCAAGTTCAAACAGCTGAAGAAAGCCCAATGCCCATTAGGGTGGGGTGTAGAAAGACATGGCATTTCTCCATTACTTTGTGAACTCAGTTTTTGATGGCGATGCATCAAGAACTAAATATGGTGCAAAAACATTCACTTAACATATTTCTGATAAGAGTAGGAAATTTTATATTCGTTATCCATGCAAAGCAGCCTCTGGGTATAGCAGAGACCTGGCCCATAAGCAGAGAGGGGCAGACAGCTGGAAAACACAGAGAAATCATGGCAGCAGTGTTCACCAGCCACCAGCTGGGATTATAATTAAGAGCAATGCTAACATGAAAGATGGAGGAGAGGAAGTAGAAAGACACAAAGGTGCTCAACAGGATGAGGATGCTCTGGGTGGCTCTTGTCTCAGCAGAGGATCTGGGGGAGACATTAGTGCTGTGAATGTGCTGGACCTGCTGCTTGTGTCTGTGCAGGATGAAGATCATGCAGCCACTGGTACAGATTGTGAGCACACAAAATGAAGCTTCAGGAAATACTATCAACGCTGCATACACGGTAACGGTGATTGTGTCATGACCTACAGCAAGACAATACCCCAAATCTCCTTTCTTTGTGAAGTTTTTCATGCTCCAGTTGCTAGGCACAAATAACAGAGGAAAAACTAAATTTATAAGCATGAACTGGATCCAACAGAGGTAAATGGAGAAGCCAACAGATTTTGGGGCTTTGACTTTAAGATCCTTCCAACAGGAGTTCATGGGGCTGATTGTGATGGTCTGGAAGACACTCAAGAGGAAGGTGCTGCCAATGGACATTCCCCTGCCCACTCTCTGAAGATACAAAATAAGTTTGCATCCAAACTCACTGAAAAAATGTTTCAACCCAAAAGATGCCATGGTCTGGGGGACTCCTTTAGAGAGAATGACCAAGGAGTTGGCTATAGTCAGGTGCTTGAGAATCAAATGGGTGGACCTCACCCTGCGTTCTGTGAGGTAAACGAACAGGTAATGGTAAAGAAGAGAGAAATTGTCCACAATTCCAACTATGGTCTGTGACAAGAAGATTATTCCTACTATCCAATCCCCGCAGGGCATTCTGTCATTCAACACGTTTACTTTCAAATCATGGCAACAATCATTCTTCTGAGCAAAAAGGCTCACTGAAGATTTCTGACACCAAAAGATTTCATTATGTGCTCCTGTTTGGTTGCCAAGACGTCATGAGACGAGAATAACAGAGAGATAGCTAGTGTATTTCACTGAAAAGTCAGCACTGAGGATGACAGGTTAGCCTGGAGGAAGAAATGGCAAGTGAGAGCAAAGGGAATGAATGTAAATAGAACATTTTCAGAAAAAGCTGAAATTCACTAGCTGTACTGGGGGTGGAGGGACCCTCAGTCACTACCTATGTCATAAAACAGATCAATTCTCAATGGATTGCTCATCTAAATTTTAAAGAAAAATAATGGTTTTTGTTGTTGTTGTTGTTTTTAGAAAACCAAACAAGATATTTCTATGGTCTTAGAATAAGAAAATACTTTTTTAAAGAAGATATTTCTTAATAGAACAGAACATATTAATCATACAGGTGAAATGACTTTAGTTTATATTAAAATTAAGGGTAGTTCCCATCAACACACACACACAACCTGTAACCAGCATAAAGAACTACTACAAACCACACAACAAAATAAACAATGGGCAAAGCATTCCAACAGAATTTTTTTAAAAGAAGCTATTCAGTAGATAATACATATGTAAAAGTATTTAAGGACTTTTAAATGTTTATTCATTTATGAGACAGACAGAGACAGACAGAGCATGAGTGGGAGAGGGGCAGAGAGAGAGGGAGACACAGGACCTGAAGCAGGCTCCAGGCTCTGAGCTGTCAGCACAGAGCCCAAAGCGGGGCCTGAATCAACGAACCACAAGATCATGACCTGAGCCGAAGTTGGACACTCAAGCAACTGAGCCATCCAGGTGCTCCATGTGTAGGAGTATTTAATATCCTTAGTAAACAGGACAACTAAAATATAACCACTACCTAAATATAATGCTAAACAGCACTGAAACATATAAACTGGAAATGACGGAAGTAACAAGGCTCTGGAATCCCAGATACTGCTGGCAGGTGTTACAAGTGATGCACACGTTTGGAAAACTATGTTGTAGCCACTTTAGAGGTCCAAATATAACCCTACGTCCCAAAAATTCTACTCCTGCAAATACATTCAACAGAAATATGTGCATTAATCATCAATAAGACTAGTCACAGGGTTTATATGCCAGCACTACTCATTACTCAAAATAGTCCCAAACTAAAAACTACCCACCTGCCCATTAATAGAATAAATCAACTGACTCATATTTACACAATGGTGTCCTATACAGCAGTGCTATTGAATGGAAGCAGAAATATATAGCAATACAGATAAATTCATGACATCTGATGGAATGGGGAAGAAATGGCAATATGAGAGAGGTCGCACCATATGGTTCCATTTATGTGAAGTACAAAACAGGCAAAGTGAAGTACTCTCTTAAATGTTAGAGGAGATGCAAACCTATGTCCCTAGATGCCACTCCCACAAATCTGTGCAATAGACTTATGTTCTTGGAGGTAGAGACAGCAGTGCAAGACGGTTTCTGAAGAACTACAGCACTCTTTTCTTGATCCGGGTGTTGTGTACAGAGGTGTGGTCAACCGTGAATTCCACTGACCTCTGCGCTTACAACCTGTGTATTGTCTGTAATTTCTGAAAATGCATGACAACAACAAACAAAACCGAAAAAACCCTGTAAGTAGCGGGAAAAGGTTGTCCTGTGAATGTGTGTGACCTGCTGACAGAGTCTGTGTGGATGAAACTCACAGATCTGCAGGCCCAGAACTGAGCCCAACAATGAAGGCTCAGGGAACAGTAACAATATTGAGTCTGCGAATTAGTCACAAAATTCAGCAGAGCAGAATCCTAAATCTCTGTTCTCTGTGATGGGTTTGTTGCTCCATTTGGAAATCCTACAGGAAAGGGACATTTACCAGCATATAAAGAAACGAGCAAAGGAAAATGGAAATCCCCAAATCCGGGGAGGGGGTTGGGCTGTACTTTAATTTCCACCCACCTGGAGGTGCCCAGGCTGCTCGTGATGCCTGGAGACACAGAAGAGGCAGCTTTGCCAACGGACACACCCTGCCAGCACTGTGGGGACAGGAGACAGATGTGTACTCAAAAGTCACTGAAGAAATGCTTCACCTGAAGGCTGCCATTAGCTTGGGGATGCCTATTAAAGGCATGAACAAGAAAACACTACCACCAGATGTTTTAGAACCAAAGCTGTGAACCTCAACCTGCATCTTACAGAATAAAGTGCAAGATGATAGTAACGAAGAGAAAATGCCCAGGATTCCAGCAAGAGTCCCAGATAAGAAAGGAGATGACTCTTACTGTCAAGAATCTAGGGCCAGTTGCCAGTGACTGGTATTTGTCTTCAGACCCAGAGGATCCTGCACTAGATGATGTCATGTGGACTAGATTGATCATATCATCTGAAATCCAATATACTCCCTGAGATATATTTCTTCAATGTAGTTTTGTTAAAGGGCTTCCAAGAATGGAATGAATAACCTTTACATGGCACTTAAAATGCATGAGTCTCTGCTATACTGCCATTAAATATGAAATCGTTTTTAAAATTTTCCTTGCTGCATGATGGAGACACTGACATTATTTTCATTGTAGAGATAAGGAGAACTCAGAGACAGAGAAATGACGTATCTAAATTCACACACCGGTCAGGGGCTGAGTGGAGACTGACCCTGACAGGCTAGAGCTGACAGTGCCCCAACCTCGGGCTCCAGAAACAATCCATGTCAGCCGTGGTTTCAAATATGACCTGTATAATGGGGCACCTGGATGGCTCAGTCAGTTAAACATCCAACTTCAGCTCAGGTCATGATCTCACAGTTCGTGGGTCCAAGCCCTGCATTGGGCTCTGTGCGGACAGCTAGCTCAGAGCCTGGAGCCTGTTTCAGATTCTGTGTCTCCCTCTCTCTCTGACCCTCCCCTGCTCATGCTGTCTCTCTCTCTCTCAGAAATTTAAAAAAAATAATAATAATAAAAAAATTCAAATATGACCTGTATTGCATTTTTAAAAACACTCTTCCATTTCATTTCATACTATTTTTCTTTCCCTTGACAAATGTGCTCATAAAGTTTCCATTTTCTTTAATGATTTATTCTCTAGGCTAATCCTACAAGAAACTTCGCAAGGGTCTTAGCTGGATTTGGTGAATGAAGCATTTGCTCAGTATGAATTCAGCAGAAAGACTCATTTGCTGTCATGCCAGGAAGAAAAATACGGTGGCACTGAATACACTATGGGACAATATTACCTTGTTCCCTGAGCTGTGAAGCAAAAAGAAATTATATAATGTGTAATTAAACAGTGTGAGACAGAAACTACGTTATTAATAATTTTGGTTCAAATGAGTAAGCATTAAATCCCACGTTAGGCAAAACTACTGGACATCAGGCAATGTTGAAACCATAAGGAAATGAGTTGTGAGCTTGGGAATGATGTTAGAATATTATTAAACCAGAGATAATATGACAAGATACATGTGTTTGTGACAGCTGTTTTCTGAAACCCATAATTATAAAGTTACCATTTCCTTAATATTGCTTCTCTAACTTCAAGAGGTAAAGGAATCTTCCATTAGTCAAGAGACCTCAGATGGTTTCAGTACAGGCACGATTACTATCTCCAGTAAGTGCATGACATACTAGAGTTACAGAAAAATAAACTTAACAAAAATATCTAGAAACGAATTCATATACGCTATTTCTGTAGATCACTGGAAACAGTTCGAGCTCTCAAGGCATTGTAAGCACACCTCTACTAACACTGAAAACTTAATCTATGATTCCTGCAAAGGAATGTGAACAGCAGATTTCATAACTATGCCCCTAAAACACCTTCAAAATTATTCTTGTCACTGCCATTTTCATTAGTAACCGTCCTAGGGAAGATTCATTAAACTGCATTAGCAGCCATCAGGTGTGGGTACAGGGTCCAGGATACTCATCTCTCCCTCCAAGCTCAGCCCATACTCAAGGAACTATTCCATCTCCCTCTTTAGCTTTGCCCCTGGTCTGTCCCAACCCTCAGAATCCCTTTCCAGACATGAACACTTACTTACACGTCCTTCCTTACGGGCTCTGCCTCTCAGATTGAAATAGAAACAACTCACTGGACTCCTTCCCGTTGAAGGATGGGGGGTCCATGTGAAGGTCACAGCAGCCAGTACATGTGAGGGAGGGAGGCAGCCAGACCAGAGATAAGGGTTTGTGAACTGTTAACCTCTCGTCCCCTCTGAACTGCAATTATCATTTCACATGAAGTGGCGATGACAGCACAGGCTTCAGTAGCTGATAATACTTCTGAAAAACTTTCTCCCAGTACTAATTACCAAATCCAATTATAAGTTTGTGAGTATCTCCAAAGAGACTGTTGTCTGCTTTAGGAGGGACTCTTACTTTTCATGACCCCTGAGGGTCTCCTAGGGAAGCAGCAGTAAATACTAATGTCAGACACATAAGGGACTAGCAGTGAGATATGTGTCTCACAGGCATCCCGATTCCCTGAGAAGTCCTTTCACTAGAAATCTAGGTCATTTTTTGTCTTCTTTCTTCTAAGCTGCATCGTTAAATATTTGAGAATTGAGAAAATACATGGACTCAGAATCCAGCAAGGATATCTAAAGAGATATAAAAGAGAGTGTACCAATAATTAATATTTGAAATCATGGAACTCAAGAAAAGAAGAAATTATGGGACTCATTTTTTAAAGTTTATTTTATTTTGAGAGAGATAGGATGGGAGGGGCAGAGGGAGGAAGAGAGAGAGAGAGAGAGAGAGAGAGAGAGAGAGAGAGTCCCAAGCAGGATCCTTACTGTCAGCACAGAGCCAGATGGGGGGCCTGAACCCATGAGCTGTGAGACTGTGACCTGAGCTGAAGTCAAGACTTGGGTGCTCAACCGACTGAGCCACCAGGTACCCCAGGTCTCATTTTTATGACTACAAATTATACTGAGAATCATCGTATGCAAATATTATCAAAATGAC